GTTTTCACGAGTTTTCATCGACTTCGAATATCTCTTTCTAGAAAGTTCTCCTATCCGGTCTCTTTCAACACCTTTCCGAGTGCAGATAATATGACCTCGTTTATTAATTAATTCATTCGTAATAGATTCGTCCAGTCGGTCGACACTGGCAGAATAGGGTGTGGTAGAAAAAGCGCGTACTTGACTAGAAATTTAGCCCATGCTCTTGATCAGGTTGATCCCAATCAGTAAATAAAATAGGGAAAGTGAGGGCCGATTAGAATTAAACTAGAAACTGATTTCATGGTTCTGTGCACATTAATCCCGATCAGTTTTCTGCTTTGTATCTTGTTGTCCGGTTCTGATAAGTCATGTCTGTTACAGAGCCATTAAGACCTTGTTAAGGACAAGGATTAATTTGCGATTTACACCATTGATTTCTACAAACAGTGATTTTTCGAAAATACAATTAAATATAAATCAATTTTGTTCCCCCTTCATGACTTTCTTATCAGCTTTTATACCATTGTCGTGAAATTTCTGATTTTCTTTTTTTTATTATTAAAAAATTTATAAAAAAGATATAAAAAATTGATCGACTCATGAGCGAAGACAAACTATAAGTCGGCGAAAATCGTTGGTACAAAATTTGCTCCTGTGTCTGTGTTTTCCACGAGATGCGCGTGTTCGAAGGATTAACATCCAAAAACATATGATTTCCTTCTTGGCGAAATTTTCTTATATATGATTTTAAGAGGATTTTTTCTAAAACTAGAAGGTACGTATCCTAAATACAGTGTTACTCCTCTTTATGAAAAGAATGGAGTTTTCTGATGAAAGTCTTAGAATATGGAATTACAAGAAATGAAATATCTTACAATCTTTGGGTTATTAGAGTTAGTTATTCTGGGTATTAGAATGTTTTTTTTTGGTTTTAGAAAAGAATCTTCTTAAAGCCATTTATAAGTGGATTCCGCTAAATATGAGATTACGTTGTTTATGGTGAGTAATTAGACTTTCTTAATAATTAGGACCCGATAACACATCATTTTGTACAAATTAAATAACTGGTCAGCTTGATCAAGACTACGGGGTCAATTTCTAATTGTGTGTGATCAGGTGGAAAAATGTTGCATCGCGACACATCGAAGTTAGAAACGTCGAACGTTTCTCAACGAAGCTTCGTCTCGTTAATCTTAATTACAGGCACTTTCCATACCCGATTTCGTTCATCGGTTATTATTAGTCCGACTCCTCCATGCCTCCTGACGACTTTCCGACATCCGTGCCGTAAAGATCCGGATTTCGAGCGGCTCGGTAAGGCATCTTCCCGTGGAGCCACGTTAGAATTTTTTCGTTAACCGGATTTCACCGGCGCGCGCTCGCCAATAAAACTGCGTAACGGAAATTACGCTTACACGGCCATCATCCTCGGAACAAGTTTCACATACTTTTGGCACGAATGCAACGGGTTCTCGCGAGGAGACGCTATCACCGTTACAACGATTCCATTAAGCAGCAATATCGAGCCTTCCAGTGCGTGCCCCGCGCGCTGACGTTAATTTATGGCGGGAGCGCGAAAACATGAGCGAGCTCACCGCGCGTGTACAACGCAGCGTGATTTTATTAAAAAAACAAAAAAATTAACAATAATAATGTCGCATGAAACCTCAGAGAAACGTCCGTTGAATTAAAATTCCGATATCGCTTGACGTGAAAGAGGATGTAGAAGCGTTGCGACGCGAAAAGCCGCGCGGTGAAATCGGATCAAAAGTTAAATTAAAAAGATAATGAGATAATGACGCGGCGGGAGTTATTATTCGAGAACGCATCGCGAGGGGAGGAGGGGAGAATGCAGGTGAATTTAGAGATAAAGCCGTGACAGGACAAAAACGGCACGGTTACCAAAGAGAAACGTGCTGCGGTCGATTGTTGACTGCGCTTTCCGTTTATTGGATTTCGTTAATCCCGCGAATCGTGCGCGCAAACAATTCCGACTGCGCGTCTGTCGCACGCGACGCGCGGCGAAGCGTGCCCGAAAAGTAAAACCAATATGTCCCTTCGTTCCTAACGTTCGCAGTTAATCGCGCCGTGTCGCGCGCCGTCGCCGTTAGGCCGATACTCGATCCTGCACGGCTCCATAGCGCAGTAATTAACTGTCCCTGTAGTGTCACGGCATGCGCTGCGTCGCGCCGAATACAACACCCAAGATACGTTTGGTCGTCGCGCCGTAACGAAGTGCTTGATAACCGCTAATGACGAATCTCAATAACGCGAACGAGCCCCACGGCGCGCAGTGGGCTCCAATGAAATTTCATGTCTCAGAAAAGATTTGAAATCGATTTCGATGTTTCTTTTTTTAACGAAAGCTAATGAAATTTGGAGCAACGAGCCAGATGTTTGTCTTTTGTTTCTCTTCTTTTAAATTAGACATAGAAAAGATAAATTTAGAAATGTTTTTTCAATCAAACAATGGGTAACTTATTTCATCTAATTTAATCAAACACAGACGTTGATGCTAAAATGAAACATTTACACCAGGAAGCTTGAAAAAAGTCATACGGACTAACATAGACTCATTAGACTCGAAGTAATAAATTTCGTTAGAAATATAGCAAACTTTTTTGTATATTCAAAAAAGTTCCTTTAATTTTAGTTCCTAAAATATAGATAATATATATAAAATGAAAAAATACTGCAGATCTATTCTCTGTTATAAAATTCCATAATTCCATTTTTACTACAAAATTCTCTCCGTGTAATAATCTTTTATAATAATTAATTTCATAACACCCTTATATTTGTATTATGACTTTTGTTAGAAGAAGAAAAATATATGGCTAGAGTCGAAAATAACTATAGTTTCTAGGAAAGTCAACAATTTTTTTTTAGCGCGAATTCTCGGAAAGACATCGAAGAGCACAAAGAAAAGTCGAGTTGCGCGATTAAGATGCGATACATTTATCGAGGATAGCGACATCTTCGGCGAGACTATTAAGAATTCTACCCGAAAGGGTGTGTCGTCGGATTAGAAAACACGTCGAGACAGCTCCCGGATTTTAGGTCGCGATCAGTTTATCACGATCTGTCCAATTACGAAGCGTTCGAATACTAGCTCGCACGAGAACTCATTAAATTCTACTAGCGATGACACGGCAGGAAGAAGAAGAAGAAGAAATAGAAGTGGAAAACTTAGAGGAGCAAGTAGATGGAAGAAATCAGTCTCTCAGCGATATGTCGGCTGACGAAGTCCTGAAACTAACGGAGATCGATGGGCAATTAGACTGCAGGATCAGCGTCGAGTAGTATCGAGATTCGCGGGTAATGTCGGGCGAAAATCGCGGAGGTTCATCAAGAGTTAACTTGTCAGAGCCATTCCCGACACCGGCGGGAGTTGGTCCATAGCTGACGTCATAAGCGCGCAACGCGATGATTAAGACATGCGGGCGGAGCCATTATCCACCCCCTGCGGCCTCTGTGTGTGTGTGTGTGTATGTGTGTGTTGTGTAGAATCGGGTGAGCGCGAGTGCCTCTCCGCTCGTTCCGATGCGATACACTTTAATGATGTTGCGAGACCATCGGCAGGCGGACAGGCAGGCAGGTAAGCAGGCAGGCAGGCAGGCAGGCAGGCAGGCAGCCAGGCAGGCTGTTGACCCATTTCGGACTTTGCGAGCAGCTGCAACTTCGTTGCAGCCACACGATGTAGTAACTTCGCGTATTGCCGCAATAAGAACTTCATTCCCGCCTCGGCTCGCCAATGGACGCGCGAGAAGCCCGCGAGCGCCGGCAATCTGCGGATTCCGGATTTCACGGGTGTCCAAGTGTTGACGCGAGTTCGATGAGTCCTCGCGAACTCGCTTTGAAATAGGGAAACGCGATTTCCCGCCGCTCGTGAGAATCGTCCGCTTCGTTCGCCGGATACGCCGAGACAATCGGAGCGAAGAAGGCGAAGCAAAAGAAGTCGCGAGGTGAGGGCTCTCGCGCGAAAATCGAGGATGAATCTTTCTAGGTCGTTTGGGAAACTCCGGCAGTAAGTCGGTGAGATTCTCTTTTTCGTCGGGGGG